CCCTCTCTCTCTCTCTACCCCCCTCTCCCCCCTCCTGTATTTGTGATGGCACCTCACATTTAACCCTGTCCGTTATTGGTAGCTATCTCATCGGAGATTGGTCGTCTGTGGGACTGATGGCTTGTATTTTTTCGACTGCGCCGTCGTCTCTTGCAGGGTTGGTGATCGCATCTGGCATGTTGGGAACCTCACTGAACGCTGACGCTGACGTCTTTGTCTCGTCCGATGCTGGTTTCAAGTGGAGAATGGTACAGTATATTTGTTAACCTTGGTAGTACTGTGTTGTTGTTGTTTTTTTTTTTTTTTGTTTAATCGTAACTTTTACATCCCCTTCAACTCGTTTAAAAATAATAAGGAGGCTGGTTGCTTCTACCCTGCCTGTTGGGGTCACTCCTGAGATGAGAAGGGTGCAGCATCCCGGTATACAGACTGAGATACTAGATTTTAAAAAATCCAACAAAAACAAAAAAAACAACCCTCCCCTCTTGGGTGTTGAACTGGAGTCTTCAACATTCATTGGCAAAGTGCTTAGCCATTACACCACAAATGCTGATACTTTAGTCTGTCGCAGGGAGGGAGGAAATTGGTCAGAAGTCTCAGAAGTTATATCCTTCCAGCATTCTTAAGTGATTATTACTCACATAATTAGACCAGCAATACACACTTTGGAAAGTTAAAATAGTTTGTGAGCCAGAAATGAAAGCAATCCTTGCCACGGTGACAGGAATGCAGGCGGTACCTTGTAACACTCAGCTGTTTTGAAATGTTTGATTTTCTCAGCACTAAGTGTTTGATACTGCTCAGTTTCACCTGACTACTATAATTTGAGAACCAATACAGTTTGACCAGTTCTATTGTTTTCAACGGTCTCATTGGCCACAGCAGAAATTGCAAGCCATCTTAACCTTTAATTCTTCCAACTCTTCTATTTCGCTGGAGAAATATTCTCCTCTGCGAATGTATTGCTCATTCTTAGAATTGATGTATGAGCTATTATGTAATTATTTCGATTGTTTTCACCCACTTGTGAGTCTTTAGCAAAAAGGATAACTCTTCACAAGTGAAGCTCTGAGAAGGTTGAACCAACTAACCATATGTTGACTGAGACAAATAAACACACCACTTTAGGAAAGGGAATGATGCTGCTATCTGCGACGAGTTATGGCTTTTGGGATCATGACAAATTGCTCAGTATTTATTCCTTTATTTTACTCTCTTTTACTATGCCATGAAGTATTATAACTTTTCTGTCTCTTTGAATGTTAACTGTAATCATCTCTTAAAGCCCATATTTATTACATAGTTACAGTAATGTGGTGTAAGTGTTTAAACTATCTGACCCCACAGTATCTTTCTAATTTATTACAGGAGTGTAATGGTAATATATTTCATCTGAAAAATTACGGTCCGTTGACAAAAAAAACAACTTAAGGTTGTGTCTTGTAAAACTAAAAAAGAAATTGTCGGTAGGGCTTTTTCAACAGAGGCTCTCTCGTTGTGGAATTCCCTCCCACTAGATTTAAGAGATACGCCTACTTTGACCGCATTTAAATCTAGTATAAAAACACACTTGTCTAAATCCCATTTTACTAACTACTCTTGATTTAAATCTTATTTTCTACTGTGAGCCACAAGGGAGTTGACATGTTAGAAGTGATCTTTATTATTATTAATTATCATCGTCATCAGTTCATAATAGATGAACTATTAACATTAGGGCTTGATGAGATCTTTAATTTAATGTCTATAGTAGAAGTAAATTGTATTGTTCAAACTTGGCATGAGATGCATTTAGTGCGTAGTTGGCGGGTGCTCTGGTGTGGTTTGCTCCTTCTTTCCTCTCAAACCTGTCTTGCCCTTAACCTTATGGCTCGTCCTTCTCTTACTCGGGCGCATTTTGTTGCTTTTTTTTTCATATTTTGTGATTGATTTTCCCGCCTCACAGGTTCTCTCCGGCAACTACTTCTACAACTTCGGTGACCACGGAGGTGTTATCATCGCTGCCCATCAGTTTATACCGACGAATGAAATCATGTAAGCCTTATCTCTTCGCCAGTGTCTCAGTGCAGCGGTTAGGGTCTGAGACGCACTGTTGTGGGGTTAAAGATTAAAGTGGATGTTATATGCTTTTGGTTAAAACATGCCCACCCACCCCTCACCCCCCTTTCCTTTCATTTGTCCCAACTTTCTGTCCTATACATTTTTATTGTCGTTCGTTCTTCACAAAATGTGTTTATTGTGTCTGTTGAAACCATATCTTATTAATTAGCACAGAAAATTTCAAAGAAATAGCATTTCATTTCAATTTTTTAATGAATTTTCAAAAAGTGGGGGAAATTGGTAGTCCTCTGGGGCTTGGAGCCAAATCGGGGCGTGGTGCTCAGTGAGTTAATCCTGCTATCCTGTTTTCCTGCTATCCAGCTATCTAGCTATCCTTCTTTCCAGCTGTCCTGCTATCCAGCTATCCTGCTTTCCAGCTATGCTGGTATCCAGCTGTCCTGCTATCCAGCTATCCTGCATGGACAGGAAAACAATGGGCTGTGGTGGTAATTATCGTGGTCTGTGAAGATGTTATACTGAACTTTATCCTTTTTTGGAATGGCATGATACTTTGTTTTACTCAGTTCGCCAAGCTACAAGTGAGAAGTTGACAACCAGTCGAGGCTGAGGTGATGAATGAGAGAGAGAGATAGAGAGAGAGAGGGAGAGAGATAGAGAGAGAGGGAGAGAGATAGAGAGAGAGGGAGAGAGATAGAGAGAGAGGGAGAGAGATAGAGAGAGGGAGAGAGATAGAGAGAGGGAGAGAGAAAGAGAGAGACAGAGAGAGAAAGAGAGAGACAGAGAGAGAAAGAGAGAGAAAGAGAGAGACAGAGAGAGAGAAAGAGAGAGAGAGAGAGGGAGAGAGATAGAGAGAGGGAGAGAGATAGAGAGAGGGAGAGAGAAAGAGAGAGACAGAGAGAGAGAAAGAGAGAGAGAGAGAGAGAGAGAGAGAGAGAGAGAGAGAGAGAGAGAGAGAAAGAGAGAGAGAGAAAATATTGTTCTATCTGAATAGAACGAATGTTTTAATGAATGTTTCTAGTTACTCACGTTTTAACTTTATTGTGACCGTTCGTGAATTTTTATTGCATTGTATATTTTTAGTGAACACATTTCCAACCTCACTGCGAGACTGTTTTTCTCATATAAATTTTTACACTTATGCATTTATATTATATGTATAATACTTTGTTTTACGTACACATCTTTTAGAGCATCTTTTAGAAAATGGAAATGGGCAGTATAAATGCTATTTATTATTATTATTATTATTATGATAGCTCTAGTGACTGCGTTGTTATAGATATTGAAAATGTGATTGATTACATTTAATGTCTATAGCTGGTTGCATGATTGTAGAGACTGAAAACGTGAATGATTGCTTTGAAGCTTAACAGGCTGCATTACTGTAGATATTAAAAGTGAGATTGATTACGTTGTGCGTCTAGCAGGGTGTGTTATTGTAGACGTTGAAAATATAATTAATTACCTTGATTGTACAGCTGGCTGCACTATTGTAGAGACTGAAAATATGTGAGACGTCTAAGTGAAAACTGGCGCTTGTAAAAAATAAAGACATCTAAGAAATTTGCATTTGTCTGGCCTTGGGGCAATTATTTAAACAATTTTTTTTTTTTGGCTCAACGCCTTTTATGTCCATTTAGAAACACATTTCCCTGTTGATTTTACTGAAAAAATTGTTTAAAGGCACAAAAACTGTAAATTTTCAGTTTCTGAGGACTCAAGCTATGGAAATTACCTAACTTTGGTGGCCATTTTCTCACAAATTTTACCTCCGGAAACAGGCGACCCTCACCTCCTTCAATAGCAAATATCTCGACTTCTATTCAACATAGATGGATATTTTTTCCACTAAAAGCAACGCAAATGAACTGGCTTTAAGATGATACCAATAACCCTATATACAGAAAATTGACGAGCGCCTGATTCTACCTCGTCGTGCCACATATGAATGATTATACCGAATGCCTAGCAGGCTGCAGTATTGTAGATGATAAAACTGAATAATAGTGTTGAGAGTTGAGTGGTCTTCATTGTTTTAGATACTGAAACAGCGTATGGTTACTTTGGGGATTTAACTGGCCCCATTGTTGTTGATGTTAAAAATGTGAATGATTACATCTAGTGTCTAGCAGGCTGCATTGTTGTAGGAGTTAAAACTGTGAATGATTGTATCAAGTTATAAGCAGTCTTCATTATTGCAGAGACTGAAAATATGAATGACAGCTTTGAGTGCTTAGCAGGCGTCAGTGTTGTTTATATCCCCCTGTGGGGGACTGAGGTAGCTTAGTCAGTATGATGAGTCGGCCAGGCGGTGAAGTTGTGTAAGCCTGCAGCCTGAACATGACAGTTACAACAACAATGGCAACATTTTTAAGCCGACCTTTTGAGAACAGGTTGGAGTAGGGCAGTTATTGTTTGCCTTTTCGCTGTTTGAGAGAATGATCATTCAAGTGCCTGAGTAGTCGTATGTTTATAGTTTAGTAAGAGTTTTACGGTGCTCATAACTACATAATTCCATATTCTTCCTTTAATATTACACTCACTGTTTTCCATGGGAACTGTTTGGCTTTCTTTTGGTAAGGTTCTAAGCAGGGATGTGCAGGAAATGGTGAACATTTATAGAGGTGACAGATCTTGACATCGATGGATGGATGGATGAATTGATGGATTGGTATGTGGATGAATGAATGGACTGATAAATGAATGAGGTAGTGAACAACAAAAAAGGAAGAGAATGGCTGTTTGTACTGGTAGGTGACGTTTGCTTATTGTTTAAACTACCTCTTTCCGTCCTCAGATACTCCATCGATGAGGGTGCCACATGGCAGCAGTACCGATTCCTGCATGAACAGATTCGTGTGTATGGCATACTTACTGAGCCAGGGGAAAAAACCACAACGTTTTCAATCTTTGGATCCCAGACTTCACACCATAGTTGGATAATATTACAGATCGATTTCCGTGATATTTTTAAAAGTAAGTGTGTTGGTGTTGATGTTTGTCCATGTCTCTCTGTGGGTGGTTTGCGGGTGCTCTGGTGTGGTTTGCTTCTTCTTTCCTATCAAACATCTGTCGTCCTTATCTCTCCTCCTTTTTTGTGTTTGTTACTCTTGTAACAACTCTAATCTTTGCCCCCCCCCCCCCCCCCCGGCTGTGCCACTGACTGAAGTGTCTATAGGCCATTCCCGAAGGGGGGACATTTCACGTTCTAGTGCACAGTAGAATTGTACATGGGCTGATCTAACAATGTCATGCTCATAACTGTGCCTGAACTAAGACAGGGAACTGCTGCTTTTTCTTTCCTAATCCTTACTATCGTCATTTCCTCTATTTTTTTTTTATGTTTGTCCCCCTATTTCCGGGGTGCCTTGATAGTCGAAGAAGACTTTGTGATGTTGAAGCTAGAGAGGTGAGCAGAGTAAGTCTGATTCCCTGTAAAGACTTCTCTATTGACATCCACCCCTTGGTTCTCAAATGACCATATGCAATTGCGAGCGTCGTAAAACCTCTACTAAAACTAAACCTAACCTTCGGCACTTATATGACCTTATTGTGTTGCAAGTGCCGTAAAACTCCTACTAAAACTAAAACATGTCTCTCTTGTATAATCAGTGAATAAAATGATCTTTTAGTGGGTGGTTGGTGGGTGTTCTGGTGTGGTTTGCTCCTTCTGTCCTATCAATCACCTATTGTCCTAATCTCTCTTCCATCTTTTATATGCTTGTTACTCTCTTGTAACACTTCTAATCTTTGGCACTTATATAACCTTATTGTGTTGCAAGTGCCGTAAAACTTTTACAAAAACTAAACCAAAAAAAACTCCTACCCCCTTCCTAAAAGAATTTTGTACGCCACTCCAACAACTCCATGTATTACAGTTTCGTGGGTAGCTCAGTGGTGAGGCTACTGGACTTGCAACCTTAATGCATCACGGTTTGAATCCCGGTCTGTGCCCTATGAGTGTACTCCTGGAACAGACACTTTATACAACTTGCCTTTACTTCCTTCATCTGGCTGTGCCATGATGTCTGTTGCTGATCTGACACTTGATGATGATGATGATGATGTATTGGCCAGCATCAGAGTGAGGCATAAGGTGGCACAGGCAAAGCCGTACTTGAATGTTTTGGGAGACCCGAGGCACCCTTTGCATGACAACCTTAGCTGCATCAAAGGAAACAGGATCAAACGGGGCAGCTCATGGATGACAGAAGTCAAAGACTCCTTGAGGAAAGTTTGTGGCGTCGATGAAATATGCTGTGGAAAGGAGTGGTTTGAACTGAGCTCCGATTGCAGAAGCCTGGCCAACGTTCACATCACTATGGGTTGTGAAAGACGGGAATGTGCTGCTGTTGTTAACGACAATGATATACGACAGTTAATTGAGGAGCATTCCAAGCCAGAGGACCCAGTGATCTATACGGATGGATCAGTCAGGAGGGGTAAGAGAAGTGGATGGGGTTTTGTGGTGTACATTGGGAACAAAAAGGTTCATGGCATGTCAGGGGCCATAGAAAGAACAAATTCAAGCATGAAAATGGAGATTGAGGCCGTAACAAGAGCGCTTGGATGGCTTCATAATACAAGACCAAGAACAACTCATCTCATCATTGTCACGGACTCCCAGAGCATCTTGCGAAGGGTTGAGAAAGGGCTTCTTCGGAGTGAATGGGTGAACCCAATACAACACTCATCACTTAGAGCCATCACGTGGATATTCTGTCCTGGGCACTCTAGAGTGAAAGGCAATGAGGAGGCTGATAGGCTGGGAGGCAGTGACGTGGTTGATGGTGAGGTGAAATTTGACAAAGGAGAAGTGTTGAAGACCCTGGCGAAAAAGTTGTGGGATGAAGAAGACAAGGAGACAGCAGAACATCACGCAATCATTAGGATGTGGGAAATGGGGATAGAGAGGGGAGAAGGAAGAAAGGTACAATTATCTGGAAAGGAAAGACGTCGCCATAATCAGACAGCCACCGGAACAATCAGTATGGATACCTTGCGGGCTTTGGTGCTGGGGAGAACCGAGCTCTTATGGACCTGTCCGGTGTGCAATGACGTTGTTGCCCAGGACAGGTAATACAGGTAGGGATGATGATGATGATATCAATGTCATAAGACAGGAATGGCTGGGCTATATAGATGGGTGAAAGCCAGATGAAAATCTGAATATCCAGTTCTCGCACCTGATTTAAATCACTAAGTTGAGGACCCAGACTGCTTCGACTTACTTTTCGACTGGTTTTCTAAATCCACCTGGAGAACTGGGTGGGACACGCTTTCTGACCAGACCATCAATGATTTATTTATAGAGGCACCAGCCATGGACACGCTTTCTATGAGACGGACGGAGGCAGGGTGGAGCAGACGCGGTGAAGTCTGTTATAGCCTGGCAGTGCACACAGCTTGCGATGGGAGTGGGAGATACGTAGGCCTGTATAGAAACAAAATCCAGACTAATTGGAAATTTCCGAGAGCCACACTTACTTTGAAAACTGGTTCAGATCTAAATCAAACTGCAGCAAGTCGAGGTGGAAGCAAATTTGGGTTTGAGATTATGGCTCTGAGAGGGCTAGAAAATCCTGGTCGGCCCATTTATATCCAGTTATTTCTAAGAAATTAATCTAGATATCCAGTTACTGGGCTATGACTGACTGACTTGTCGAGTACCTTGAAAAAATGGGAGCCCTCTGTTTAAAAAAAAAATTCCTGTCGAAGAACCCAGCTAAATTTGCTGAGGCTCTGATTTTTTTTCCCCCTTGAATTCCGTTTCTATCAGTTGCATAAAACGTATTGGAAATGATTTGAAAGCACACTGGTTTATTTGCAATCTTAGTCTGACTTATTGTAAATAACTTGAAAACGCATTTTTAGTTTTGTTTATTTTGGTGTGTTTATGTTGTAACTTAAACATAAAGTAATGTTTAACACTAACCTTTTGTTTGCCTGCGTTTACAACAGACGTTAGCCAAACCTGTTTCTCTCCGGATGGTGATCCTTTCCTCAGCGATGGGGCCCCGATGCGTTGGAATCTCACACGCAACACAGAAATAAGCCGAGGCTCTAACTAGCCTTTTCTCCACTCAACATCTCAGCAGGCCTCCTTTGCCTTGCTACAGCTCTCCCCTCTAAAGTCTGACCTGTAGTAATCCAGACTGCTTTTATACACTTGCACCATACAGTACAACTGAACTGAGACTCACACTTTACTCACTCACTCTCACTCTTTCAGCCAAACAATACAATAGGCTAGGCATAACCCCCTGCCCCTGACCAACACGCCAGATTGCAAATTAATAAACAACCAAATAGACCTCAGTTTAATATGTATGTTTATTTGCAACTTTCGGTTTATAAAGGTGTTTTAATCTATCAGGGTTTTGGAAACTCTGACCCCCCCCCACCCCCACCCCCCGAACTCAAATTTTTAGGGAGAATTCCTCTCTTTGGTTGTGGAGGGGCTGGCAAGTCTGCTGTGATAGCATTGTCTGCTGGGGTTGCCCTGTGAAATGGCTGCCTGCGCTATTGCTTCTGAGGAAGCTGAAGATGTTTCGGAATGTTTTAGGGATGTAGAGGGGCAAAAATGTTTGACCTTCCTGCCTATTCATGACTCGTGGTTCAAAAGATAGATTTCAAGGTCCATGAACAACAGAGATGAGATGTTACTTCAGACTCTTTGACATCTCTTTGACATCTCATACAAAGATCATATTTCAAATACTGAGGTACGGTACAGAACAGAATCACAAATGCAGTGGCGCAGCATGAAGATCTACTGACCACAGTGAAGAGATGAAAATTAAAATGGTATGGGCATGTCACAAGATCCACAGGACTTGCTAAAACAATCCTACAAGGAACCGTACAAGGAAAGACAATGAGAGGAAGGCAGAGAAGGAGATGGGAGGACAACATGGCAGAGTGTACAGGAAAGACGATGGGTGACAATCTGAGGAAAGCAGAGGACAGAGAGGAACGGCGAGAGCTGGTTTTCAGATGCTGTGGTGCCCACACGGTTTCCCCAACCATGGGATAGAAGAAGAAGAAGAAGAAGAAGAAGAAGAAGAAGAAGAAGAAGAAGAAGAAGAAGAAGAAGAAGAAGAAGAAGAAGAAGAATTTTAGCTTGAGAATTATTCCCTACTGGAAACAGCCCCCAGAGCCCCCCCCCCCCCCCCCCCCAAAAAAAAGCCCAACATAAAAACAGAAAAATTTAAATATAAAAACCCCCCAACAAAATGGAATCTTAAAAGACAAGAGAACAAGAAAGAAAAAAAGACGGCTGATAGAACAAACCGAACCAAATATGTTTCTATAATCTACCATAAAATGCGGGTGGTTGGAGCGCCCCTTTGGTAAGTCCTACTTCTTTACTTTCCCTCTGTTATTTCTGTCTGTCTGTCTTCTTTTTTCTGAGCACTAAATGACAATTCTTGTGTCTTTATGCTTCTCTCTACTCAAACAAAAAAACAAATAAACACATCTTTCTGAAACATGAAATCAGTACAAAAATGATTTTTTTTCTGTATCCTTAGACAAATCCTGCAGCCCGAATGACTACAAGATGTGGTCAGCCAGTTACGACTTGATGAAGGAAGGCTGCCTGATGGGCCATTTGACGGAGTACCAAAGGAAGATCGCCAATGCTGCTTGCTACAATGGCCAGGGATTTGTCCGAGAGGTTCAGAAGAAAAACTGCTCCTGTACCAGGGAGGACTTTGAGTGGTGAGTTGAGTTGTCTCCAACTGAAGTTTTCAACGACTTCAGTCCCTGTTGTCTCACAGGGCGCTTGTCACTAAAGGGAAGAGGTGTGTTTAGGCCTTGTACTGTTTCCACCTGTGCCTACCTCCAAAAATTCGATGGCAACAAGGCTAGAGGGCGACCGAGGAAGACCTGGATAGCTGGAGTCAGGGAAACATTAAACACCCACGGCATCCCCCTGACCCAAGCTCTCCGGCTGGCGACAGAGAGACGTCTCTTTCTTCCCGCGACACCCAAAAGGGTATAAGCGGCGGATAAAAGTAAAAGTAAAGTACTGTTTCCACCTAAGATTTTCGACGACTCCAGTCCCTTTGTAGGGATTTTGCGCTAAATGGAAGAGGTGCATTTAAATAATAAAGATCACATCTATAGTGCCCACTCCCTGGTGGCTGTAGGCGCATAGCAATAAAATAAGATTTAAATCAACGCTTCATGCACACTGGCCCATTCAATGTACAATTCTTTCAAATACACCATGTACACTCACATTCTAATGAAGAACACATTCACAAAAAAGATAGTCACTGTGGCTATTGATCACACTTCTGTTGGAACAAGAATAAGACTAGCTAGTACAATATGATTTAAATAAATGAGTTTTCAGGAGTCACTGTGGCTATTGATCACACTTCTGTTGGAACAAGAATAAGACTAGCTAGTACAATATGATTTAAATAAATGAGTTTTCAGGAGTCACTGTGGCTATTGATCACACTTCTGTTGGACCAAGAATAAGACTAGCTAGTACAATATGATTTAAATAAATGAGTTTTCAGGAGTCACTGTGGCTATTGATCACACTTCTGTTGGACCAAGAATAAGACTAGCTAGTACAATATGATTTAAATAAATGAGTTTTCAGGAGTCACTGTGGCTATTGATCACACTTCTGTTGGACCAAGAATAAGACTAGCTAGTACAATATGATTTAAATAAATGAGTTTTCAGGAGTCACTGTGGCTATTGATCACACTTCTGTTGGACCAAGAATAAGACTAGCTAGTACAATATGATTTAAATAAATGAGTTTTCTGGAGTCACTGTGGCTATTGATCACACTTCTGTTGGAACAAGAATAAGACTAGCTAGTACAATATGATTTAAATAAATGAGTTTTCAGGAGTCACTGTGGCTATTGATCACACTTCTGTTGGACCAAGAATAAGACTAGCTAGTACAATATGGTTTAAATAAATGAGTTTTCAGGAGTCACTGTGGCTATTGATCACACTTCTGTTGGACCAAGAATAAGACTAGCTAGTACAATATGGTTTAAATAAATGAGTTTTCAGGAGTCACTGTGGCTATTGATCACACTTCTGTTGGACCAAGAATAAGACTAGCTAGTACAATATGGTTTAAATAAATGAGTTTTCAGGAGTCACTGTGGCTATTGATCACACTTCTGTTGGAACAAGAATAAGACTAGCTAGTACAATATGATTTAAATAAATGAGTTTTCAGGAGTCACTGTGGCTATTGATCACACTTCTGTTGGAACAAGAATAAGACTAGCTAGTACAATATGATTTAAATAAATGAGTTTTCAGGAGTCACTGTGGCTATTGATCACACTTCTGTTGGACCAAGAATAAGACTAGCTAGTACAATATGGTTTAAATAAATGAGTTTTCAGGAGTCACTGTGGCTATTGATCACACTTCTGTTGGACCAAGAATAAGACTAGCTAGTACAATATGGTTTAAATAAATGAGTTTTCAGGCCAAATTTAAATGTGGTGAAAGTTGGCACCTCTCTTAGACGCAGTGGGAGGGAATTCCGCAATGAGAGAGCAGTTTTTTTGTTTTGGTTTTGCAAGGCACAGTCTTGAGTTGTTTTTAAATACTATTAAATGGTAAATTTCGAGATGGAATACACTCTTGTAGTAAATAAGAAAGATACTGGGGTGCCAGATAGTTAAAACACTTACGGCACATTATTGCAACTTAATTGTAAATACAGGCTTTAACAGGGAGCCAGTGTAGCTGTCAAAGCAATAGTGTTGTGTGTTCTCTTGTAGGCTTTTTGAGAAAGCTCTTACTGCTCTGTGCAGTTTATTCATTAGTTCTGTTGGTATGGTTTATAAGCAGTGATTCGCAATAGATAATACAGATGATGGCATCGGTGTCTTAAGAGATGTCGTGCTTAAAAAAAGGTAAATTAGGACGTGAGCCATCTCCGCCTAAGGTCTCAATAACTTTTTCCCAGTCTCACTCCTTTTGTAGGGATCTTGTCACTGAACAGAAGAGGTGCATTTAGTCCATAGACCAGTATTACAATATCCTAGATTGTGCTCTCTGATGTATTTCCTGTTCACTATGGTGGTCACCATTTGACACAATTTGAGCCAGATGATGAAGGGCAAGAGGGAGGAAATGCCGTGGGCCATGGACTGTAGCAAATACCAAAAACCCTAAATTTCGTGTTTATTTCGTGTTTATTTTGGGTTTCGGATAGAAAATTCGAACAGACACATTTGTTTGATTTGTTTGTTTTCTCAGTTGTCTTTTTAAAAAAAGTTTTTTAAAATGTATTTTGTAAAAATAGTTTTTCTTGTTTTTCCAATTTTTAAGGTTCTTTTGTATTTTGATAAATTTATTAACACTTTGTTGGGTTTTTTTTTCATTTTGGTGCAGAATGGAGTCCCATGGTGCACATGCTTAGAAGCGAAGTTTTTATTGAGTATGAAGAAAGGGTGCCATGACAGTGTGTGGTCTAGGAGTGTACATCTATGGTTTAGGCAAGCGAATACGCACTCAAGTATATGGGCTTGTACACACCTACACACATTCATATGCACACGCTCATGCATTCATACACACACACACACACACACACACACACACACACACACACACACACACACA